GCTTCTCTCCTTTCTGCCCCCGACCCTCGACACCGCGAAACCGACGAAATCGTTTCCCTCTTTCTACCGCCACGTCGCGAAAAACTCCGAGCCAGCCGTCGAGGATAGAGAAACCCACGCGATCGATCCCGAAGTGAACGACAATCGCGGCGAACGTGCGTGAAACACAGACGCGCGATCGTTGCGAGATCTCACGCGGTTCCCGTTCGAAGAGGATCCACCGAAAGGGAAGACCTTTGCGCTCGGGTCGCTGTCGATCGAATACAATACCTCTCTGCCCCTGGCTCCGCGAGCGCGATCCGACTTTTTCACCGTTTTCTCTCTAAATTCCGCTTCTCTGGATCTTCTCCAAAGAGGGATCTCCTGCTCTTCCGCCGTTCGATCGTTCGAGATCGAACGAGGAAAGCCGAATCGAAAGCTGGTCGACTGCGCGGAATCCCCCGCGTCCGAGTGGATCACGACGAGCAGAATCGCGGGTCACAACCGTGGCTTCGTCCTTCGGCAACCGGAGACCAGAAGAGCGACGCTTTCGTCGTTTCTACGAACCGCGAGCGATAGAGGCGAAATCGAACGATCTGATCGTCGATTTGCAGCCACACGCGACACTCTCTCTCACCCTCGTTTTAACTACACCTCCTTTTGTCAACGAATCCGAGTCTCTTTCCGTCACACGGGAAGCAATTGGAGCTTTTATTTAAGTAACAACGTAAATGATCCGCGTGTCTTCGCGGGAATCGCACGGACCTTCTTCCGGTCTCTTCGTTTCCTTCGCCGTCGCGGGGCGTGCTTAGATTGATCATACGCCACTCTCTCTATCTCTCTATTTCCGGATTCGCGTTGCGAACGCGAACCCCTGCTCAGCGTTCCGCGCCAATAAATACAATAATTAATTAATTAATAAATTCAATATTAATAATTAAAATAAATAAAAAGCAAGTAAGTAATTATCTTTCGTTAAGCGAGTTTGGTCTCTCCTTGGTGCGGTTGCCATTCTGTATATCTCTTTCACTCTCACTCTCTCTATCTTTTATTGCTTCGTTCTGCACTTGTTCCGTGTGTCCCCTCCTCTCATTCACACCCAACACACTTATTCGTATACATAGCCATACACATATTCACCCTCTTTCTCTCATACACACACTCACACACACACACTGATTCGTCCAACAGTTCCCTCTCGATCCTGCGAATCTGCTTGCTTGCTTGTTCGCTCGTTTCGTTTGCTCGTCTGTCTGGCCGTCTCTTTGAGATGATCTCTGTCAGGCGTGACCGATCGACGCGCGATTCTAATTTCCCCGCCAACCGCAACGGGACTCTCACGAGTGAAGGGTAGAGTCTACTTCCTGCACGAGGCGTCGTTCGAAAGTAGAGACGAATATAGAGATTGTCCATTTTTCTTTCTTCCTATTCCCCTCCCCCGTAATTTTCTCTCCCTCCCCACGTTTCGATCCCACGAGGCACGCACGCACTCACACAACACGTTTAGATCACCGGAAAACTACCCTTCGAATCGTGAACAGAGTCCAGACACCCATTTTTCTCGCGCGTCGATCGAGCCACCGGGTATGTAACTAATTAATAGATTGCTTGTGCATTGCTCGTTGCTACTTAGTAGTGGTACACGGCTGCTCGTGAACGCGAACTCTCTCTCCCCGCCTTCATCTTTATTTCGTCGCGTTATTAACCGTAGTACAAATATAGGAATATAGCTAGTGAAAACGTCGAGTAGGTTCGCATGGGTGTCTCACCCCTCCCCAGGATGATCCCGCCCCGTGTTTCAGTTTCTCTGAAAGCCTTCCGTCAGATTCGCCGAGGTGTCCCCACCCCGGGGGAGGATTCCTCATTGCCGCCGTTTCGACGATGGTTCTCCGACTTAGGTATCGAAGGACCGGAGGAGAGTTCCCCGTGAAGTTGGAGCAACGCGTTTACGAATTAGGTACTACACGCGGTTACGACCGTATACGAGAGTATAGTAAAATAATGATCGTATAATACTATTAATATAATAATATAATTGTCGCCCGAAGCCGACGCGATTCTCTCGGGGGATGCAAACATCGAGGAGGAATCAAATTCTCTTTCTTAACGAGAACAGACGTGTACTTTGAAGAGAATACGTTACGATACGCACGCTTGTTGAACGGACGAAAGGAAAATTCGGGGAAAATAGAGGAGGAATTATCGCGGAGTTGTGAAAAATCTGTTCGCCTCGTTTACATCCCGCGAGATTCGTCCCCGTTAGCCTCGAACAATTATGATTGCATGTCTATGTTTACATATATATGTCGGTTAGTGTGTGTCTCTGTGTGGCACGGTGTTCGTGTGTGTCGTGTGTACATGTATATAAATATATTACAGTTTACAGCGTAAGATGAGAAATGAAAAAAAAAAAAAAACAGTGAATCGAAACTGAACATTTTTCTTCTCGGATTATTGTATATGTATCATACATATATTATGTATAATAATATATATACGTTCGAATTTTGTCGAAAACCGCTTCATTTTTCGTTTGTCTCTTCTGCTGCTGTGTTTTTAGGTACGACATACAAAAACTGTCGTCGCGACGCATGCATTGTTGCTTGAACCGTTTCCTTCTTCTCTTTGCTCTCTTCTCTACGCCAATCTCACTCGCTTACACGCGCGCACACAGAAACCACGCACACCTTTCTCCGCACACACACTTTCAACCCTCACATTCACTCCTATAAATACCTCGAAAAATAATAACGATCGTAGTACCGATAACTCAATAATAAAGGCTCCACGTGATCCGGTGTGAATCGATCGTTGTAGAAAATAAAATTAAAAAAAAAAAGAAAATATCATTGCGAACCAACAGAAAGGAAGAAGAAAAAAAAAACGTATATCGGCGTCTGGATAAACGATCTTCTTTGCTCCCGAAGTTGGAAAAAGAACGATCTCCCCTTTGAAAACAAAAAACGTGCTCGGCGATGTCAGAGCGGCGGCACCATTCGCTCGTTTATCTCTTTGGAGGTCGGTAGGAACGTAGAACTTGCCCAAAAAAGAACGAATGCCTCTCTTTCTCTCCCTCTCTCTCTCTCTCTCTCTCTCTCTCTCTATGTGTGTGTGTGTGTGTGTGATGTGTGTGGTATGCATACGAAGAAGACCGCTAAAAATTGCATGTTTACTTTTAAAGAATTAAAAAATACAACAACGAAAGATTGTAGAATAAAAAGGAAAACAAATATATATAATCGTAGTAACAATAATAGCGAAGAATAAAAAGGATCAAGGAGAGAAGATTTCTCGCGAATCGGTATGATCTATGTATGTGTGTATAGATATATATATATATATAAAAAAAAAAAAGGTAAAGAATATATAATCCTGAGGTTAGAAGCGACGAGTTTTGCGCGCCCATCGACGTGACGTCGCGTCACACACAGAATATGCACCCAACCTTGCCTTTCTTCTTTCTTTCTTCCGTTGCACGCGACCGAATTTCTCGATAAAAGCGCGGCGGACACGTTCGATTTATCATTGCAACAGCCGAATTGCACGAGTCGCAAAGGTCGCTTAATATAGCCTCGATCTCTACATTGTATCTATGCATGCGTGTGTGTTCTTCTCTCTTGTCCGTTTCCTCTACAGTTCTATTTCTTCCGTTTTCTTTTTTTTCTTCGTCACCTCTTCAACGCGAACTGACGAGAACGAAGAAGGGCCTGATATTAATACGTATCCGCTATAAATATGTGTCTCGAAAATATCAAAATTTTTTTTATTATTATTATTATTACTTTTTTTTTTTTTTAATAGACTTCTCCTTTTTTTAGTCTCTTTTATCCTTTAGTCCGTGTGCACGCGCACACGAGGTATAAAATTGTATCCCGTGAACCATTGGACCGCGCTTAGTAACTCTATATGGGCCCCCCTAAGCCTCGTCAACTCGTGTGACAATCCCTTTGTCACGGTGTTCCGGCGTTTTCTTTTCCCCGCCATGCTTGGCTTCCTTCGTTCACCTTTTCTTACTTTTTTGTCTTCTTTTTTTTTCGATTTTTCTACTTCTTTCTTTTCGGGTTGCTCTCTCTCTCTCTCTCTCTCTCTCTCTCTCTCTCTCCATCAGTCTCTCCCATCACAAAACAAGCATTAGCAACGAACTGACCAATGCAACGTGATTTATTAAGCGTTTCTACGAATAACAGATTGGTCCAACATCTTGTTTTGGTACCGTTTATTTAGAAACACTCTAAAAGAAAAGGCTCCAGGTATTTTGAAATTTCGTTGAAATTTAATTTCGATATGTTTCACTAATACAATCACGATTCTGGTCCAATAAATAGTTTGTTCTTAGTTAGTCTTTTTTTTTTTCTTCTTAACGCCAGTAAATTGACTGCTAACATTTTTCCCTTTCTACGCTCTTTGTCTGCTATTTTGATCTCGTTACAATGGCCATAGTTATATCATATCGAATTCGCCGTTTTATCGAGAAAGGCAAAAGTACGTTTCCTTTTTTCTATCTCACTCACTCTTTCTCTCTCTCTCTCTCTCTCGCTCTCGCTCTCTCTACACTCAGGCCTCGTATACTTTAAGCCCTCACATTTCCTCAGCTGCGAAAATATAGGAAAAATCGCTAAATTGCGCGCGCAACATACGACATAACGGTTTTTTTCTTCGTTCACTTTGTCGCTGGTAATAGAACAACGAAAATAGAAAAAGGAAGCGTAACGAGTGAAGTGTTTCATACGAATACGTTGCTTATGTAACGAATTACGAGAGACGCGGACGATGGATGATCGATCGAACAACGCAAAAAAGAAAAGAACAACAACAATAACAACAACAACGATAAGAAAAGAAAAGAAAAAAGATCGAACGTAACGCAAGCAACTTTTGTAAAGAACATGGACATCGGAAAGAACCTTCGGGACAAATTCGGCGGACATGTAATATTTCTTGTGTACGTGTATTTTAATATTTTTTCATTTTCTTTTTACCAGAAAACTTCTTTTTTTTTCCTGATTCTCGATAAGATTTGTGGTAGCAAAAATTGGGGCGGGCCGGCCTGTCGCGTCCGGTTTGAAAACGTCGACAGGTCACCCTCAAGGCGGCGGCACTCGCAAATACCTATTTACAAAAATATACACATGAGCAACTTACTTATCCGTTACGCTTGTTTTTTGTTTGTTTGTTTGTTTATCTCCTCCTTACGTCTCGTGTAACAGGGGGGGTTGTACACGGATGAAACGTGTATACACACCTCCGTTACACACTAATGTTTCCCCTCTCCCCCATTTTTTATTTTTCGTCTGGTGTCTGTTCTCGCTTTCTTTCTCTCTTTTCATTTTCTTTCTTTTTTTTTTCCCCTCCTTTAATAATCGCACTATTTATAATGGTGTAGTGTATGCACTATGTATAATTATCTGAATATTCTTTTTTTTTTGTTTATTTCTCATCACTAGAACCTCTACTTATTTCCCCGTTTAACTCTAAGTAATGTAAATAATATGTATTTTTTTTCTGTTACCGTTTAACTTTGTTTTTTTATTCCTTGTTGCGTATTAATTATCTAATCTAAGTTACTTCTGTTTTTTTTTTTTTCCTTCGTAACCTATCTACAAAAAAGAGTCGTGTCCTTCGCTCACAGACGTCAGACATAGTAGTTTTAATAGTGGTTGTAATCGGTTTGGATCAACCGTTGATCTTGTTGCTCGCGGCGCATCTCCACCGTAGAGAAATGCATCATCACACTAATTCTCCCGCCCCCTCTCTCTCTCACTCTTTCTCGCACTCTCTCTCTCTCTCGCTCTCCCTCTCTTTCTCTCTCTCTCTCTCTCTCTCTCTACCTCTCGTTCTACCCCCAGCCCCTCATTCACAAACTCTCTCTCTCTCACTATCTCTCCTAACCTCTCGCGAATCTCGCGACC